ACACACACACACACACACACACACACACACACAAACATACATACAGACAACCTCTCGACAATATACGTTTTTGCTCACTTTAGCTGCACAGTAAAAACGCATAAAAAAGGGAAAAAGAGCAAGTTAATGTGAGCTCTGGGCTTGAACCTTTGACAAAAAATTATTGAAACCTGGACTTATATCACTGACACAGTCTCAGAGCATTTTTCAGATTGTCGTCTGTTAGCTTTTGCAGGTTTAGTTTTATTTATTTTCATTGGAGTGTAGAGGGTGGAGTGTAGAGGGTATATACAAATCCCCTATTCATCTAGTTAAGTAAGTACCACATTCCGATCTCCTCCGCGGGCCGCCGGTTGATCACTTGTGTCGTAAACAAACGTGCGAAAATGCTAGTAATTTTCAAACCGATGATCATCACTATCTTTGAAATGAAGACAACACCTATGCATTCCTAACTAAATCACTGCTTTGGTCGGCTGCAGGTTTGCCGCTAAAACGAACCGCAGAAATTCTGGCCGAGGTGTACATGATGAAAAGAGATATATAGTCATTTTCATACACTTACCATTTTCTCGATGCTGTTTGATGTACTGTTTTAACATCATTCATTTGGTTTTCTAAGCTTTGGCGAAATGAGCTTCCAAGCTTGCCGGCAAAACCTTTGCTGTCGTATGCTACTCAAGAGAGGACACTGAGAGAATACTGCTGTGCTGATGCTGAGTGAATACTTTTTACTTTTGGCAATTTTAGGATGTTATGAAGACAATACTGTTTTCAGCTTTCGTAGCTGAATATTCAAAGTATTACTGAAACCATAATTTTTGTGATGTTTTGTATTCTTTGAAAATATTGCTGTGGAATCTTGATAATCTCCTAGCATACATAGAAATCAAAGCAAAAACTAAGAATTTTCCTCAGGCCTTCCCGAGATCAGTTGAAATGATCTGCTTAGACAGCTGTGGTCCGGCTCACATTAATAACACATGCCTTCGCTAATACCTGAAAACTGGGCTCATTGCCAGTAAGGGATGCATTTTCATTGCTGAAGCCCGAGAAGATGAATTTGTTGGCCATGGCCTGGTTGCCAGTATACACGTTATCCACCTTGCTGCCGTCTCTTCGGATCACGGCGCGTAGTTCCCTCACTGCTGCGCCTGCCATCACTGAACTAAAATCGATAAGCGTATGTTGCCGTGCTCTGTTCGTTGGTGGTATCGGATTTTGGCTGCTGGGCTAGTCTTTTTTGCTCCGTTATCTCTGGCTGACTAGCACATATGCGCTGTATGCGGGAACTGCAAGAGCGAGTGGACGGACTAGTGGATGAGTGGGATAGGTGGATGAATGGATAGATGGCAGTATTCCAGGACAGCACGAGGAAAATAGAATGCTCCCTTACTCCACCCATTTCATTGATGAGCCTCTGGACCAACAAGCGACCAGTGTGAGCAGGATCAGGGACACTCTCGCCTCGCAGCCTCAGGCACATATTTCTTTCTAAACGCTCCCACTACTTTCTCTGTGTGTTAACAGCCTCTTTTTTTGTTCCTTTTATATTTCCAAACTTTTTTCAGCGCATTTTCATTTGTTGATCGTTGCTTGTTTCTTTGCAGAGTGAGGTGTAGGAGCAGAAGTGAGGAAAAGATTTGGGGCAGAAACTCTGTTTAACGTCTCCTGAATGATCTTGTGGCAAAAAGCGCTTCTAAGCTAATTCTCGTTTCAGCTACATTAATCGACGTGAATGGTTTTTTTTTTTTAAAGTTGTGTACATTAGACGGAGGGAAACTGAACATTAGCCCAAAAGATATTTATAAAAAAAAGATGCGGCAGCATAATCCACCTTCTCCATGCTTATCAGCAGGATGTGATATACTGTATTCCAAGTGTAAAACCAAAAGAGCCTAGCAATAATAGCTTCAAGAGTAATGTCACAAAATCTGACGAACACTAACTTTGTAGGGTTTTTTACTTTGGAGAGGAGCGACTTTCATCAGTAAAATGTGTCAAAAACCGTTCTACTGTGCAGGATGGGTGATAAGGAAGATCTGAAAAACTGTCTCCCTATCTTCTGTTTCTTATTACATCTACAGGTTGCTGATGAGAACCTTCATCAAATGACTGTGCCTGAAAAAAGCAGTGTAAGGAGCAAATTAAACTGTATAATTCATGGCGTCCAAAATTTCTAGCTTTTTGCCTTTTTATGCGTTTTTGCTTATATGCAAATTGCAAAAACCCATATTGTAACGACCATGGTGAGCGTGTGTGTGTTTGTGTATGTGGATGTTTGTGTGTGTGTTTGTGTGTGTGTGTGTGCGTGTGTGTGCGTCTGTCCGGATTTTTCAACTGGACACCCAAGCAAGCTTTGGCGCCAAAATTTTGCCGTGGCTTCCCCGGCCAAGTGCCACCCAAGGGCTACGGTCCCAGACGTCACGCACATCTAAGCCCCGCATACGAGAGAGCGAAAGTTTTGGTGGGAACATCACTAACTCAGGAACCAAAAAAGCTAGAAAGCTGAAATATTGGGACTATGTCCTACGTCCACCTGTAATTCAAAGATTTCAAATTCAATCCCCAGGTATGCGTGATTCCCGCGTACGACCCCGTGAGGGTTCCTGGCGCGAAAATCGCAATTTGGAAAGCCAGGGAAGCTGGGAGGCTGAAATTTTCAGGAAATGTTCCCAGCCCACGTACAACTTAAATTTATGAATTCATCCCCCAGGTGTGCTTGGCTGTTACACACGGCCTCTTGAAACTTTTCGGCGGGAAAACGGTTTACTCAGTTACCAGGAAATCTAGGAGGCTGAAATTTTAAAGGGACGTCCCCTTTCCAACTACCGCATAGACAATTAATTTCTCGGACTTCAAGGAACTGTATGTCACACATTTCTAGCTACCGGGGTTTCTAAGCGATCTCATTACAGCACAAAATGCTGCAAAAACGCATGATCGCACGGACCCGCTCGGTGCGCGTCGCAAATGATTGTTTCTGGAAAAATGAAATTAATTCGATTCTTAATATGAAATGATAGCTCGGGATACAGCAAACAAGTACTGGAATTTGATTTGAGCTTATTTATTTTGGGTTTTACAGAATCAGGGATCAGTGCTCAGTTAAATAAAAGGACAGCAGGTATCAGTCATTCTGATATTCGCTTTATAATCTTTGTTAAAATGAGGTTGACTGCAAATGTGTGTATTAGGCTGGCACGGCCGACGTAAAAACTGAAATCATAGTGGCAATGTGTCGGGACAAATATATCATGAACA